ACAATTTTCGTTTAGACTGGGGAGATAGTGTGATTAAACGTGGATTGTTTTTAGACAATCTCCAAAAAATATAATACCTATGTAAATGTTATTACATATTCTGAGAATGGATTATTAATATGTTATATGTAAGTCAGTTGTAAGTCATATACTTTATCAATCCGAATTCCGCGTGTGTATATTTCGACGTTATTATAATATAACCATTGGTCAAAACATAATATTATTATTTTTATTTTATTTTACATTATTCGTATTTATTGAAACAAACATCAAAAGATCAAGGAAACCCTATAACTGAAATATTAATGATCAGTTACTCAAGAAGCGTCTCTATATCGATCTGTATGAAGTTATGTAGTATGTTCAAACGCCACACCAGTAAGCAATTATGCGTACGCGAGAAGAATATAATATTTTGTACAAAGACTGAAAAACAACGAAACAATAGTGTTATTTTCCAAGATAAGCAAACCCTGATAAAWTTACAATAATATAATCATATACTTTTATGCCTAGGTATCTGGTATATAGGAAACAATCATTTTCATTAAAAGTAAAAAGAGACTTTACATAGTAAATAATTTTGTTCTACTACTTATTATAATGTTCAATCTATACCCACATAAAACTTTTTATAACAGTTGTAATTGATAAGAGATGCCATAATAGTTCTTTAGTTGCCTGGTAGATATTCTGAACAAAAAATAAATTAATACCTATACATAAAATAGGTAAATAAAATTACATGACAGATTTAAATGCTCTCTAAAACAGAAAAGTTCCTTAAAAATACGATTCAATACACTCACAACCTAAATTTTTAAAGAAATGCATGAGAAAATTCTCTTAAAATTATTTTTAATATCAAAATATTTGTTTTGTTACTATATAAATTCATAAAACTCATTGATTATTGATTGATTTTATCATACGTCTTTTCCTATCTTCATTTGATCCTGAAAACTTTATTGGTAAGAACACGATAAAATAAATAAATAATAAACATAGAAGTATGTAGAGGTAAAATAAATAATATTGTATTTTTTTAGAATGAATTTTAACTAAATTTGTGTAAAATGTTAATATGTTATCCATTCCTATACCAAAATTATTTTTAATATAAAATCTATGAAAAATGACAAAAAAATGCAAAATAAAAGTTACATTTTTTGATTCCTTGATGGATAAAATTAACTCTGAACTTGGTAACCAATATTTTCAAGAAATAAATGCAATTTGATTCAAAACCCTATTAAAAGTAATAACTAGGTGATAGATATTATATAAGAAATATAAGACAGTACATAATTATAAAATAAGGGTATTAAAAAATCTTATAAGTTATAAGATATGAATATAATTTAAGTTTTACCTATATAATAAAATGTATGGTTATTGTAAGAAATAAAAAATAACACCGATGAAAGTCATCAGATCTGCTGTTTAGAGATTTAATCTAATTAAAACCATTTATTTAGAATACCATAAAACTAAATTTATTAAATTTATTCTGTTTCAGTTTTAATATATGCATTATATGTGTACCTATATATTGGTGATCTTATCTATTAGTTTTGATTTTTGAATAATAATAGGCAGGTACCTATATGTATATTAATACCACTTTAGCACCTTGGACAAGAGATTTCAATAATATTTTAAATAGATATAGTAAAACATAAAATATACTTAAATATATATATATATATATATATTTATACATCATGTTCATACGTTCAGATATGGTTTAATTATGCAAGTTATTATAAATATCCTAATCAATTAGATCTATGAATATAATATTATAAGAATCAGGTAATAACTCTGGTAATTATACTATRTAGTATATATATATACTATATTCAGTCCAAATGCATAATATAAGGAATTCGATAAATATGTACTTGCTTTACACACAACTGAGAATTTAGGCAAATAATTTATTTAATTAACTGAATTTGATATGATTTTTAAATATAATACAAAATACAGTTATTTTAATTATACAGTGATAAATGCTGAGATAAGTTCATTGAGATATTTAAGTCATAATTTATTTATCATACTAATTATAAAAGTAAATTATTCTTTTTCAATTTTAAAATGGAGAAAATAAAAATTTGATAGGTATCTACTTATAAAAATAAAATAGTGAACTAATTTTTAGTTTTAGTTTAATCAGGATTTAAATCATTCTTAAATTTATTTAAATTAGTAAAAAAAAATTATTACTTAAAGGTAATTACCTTTTAATAAGAAAAAATATAATATAAATATAAATACATTACAGATTCGCATACACAATAAACTTTACAATATATTAGTCATTCTTAAGAGAAAAAACTTGATGTAATATATTATATATATATATATATACACAAAAAGGTCCTATTGATCCAGAGATTAACATATAGGGGGAGGTACATTTTATGGTTGGTGTACAGTCTACAGTGCATAGTATGTTCCCTACTTCCAAAACTAAATGACATTTTCTTGGAGGGTGAGATCTCAATAGCTTCAAATAAAAACATAATTTATGACTGCTGGGACAGTTTAGAAGGGCAAAAGTTTAATGGATAAAAATGTTTGGGGTGGTAGTCCCTGTTTTCTTAACATTGTCAACTTGGAAGAAATGAAGCTAGTTAGTAGTTACAGAACATACCTAAAAACTTTCAATATTAAATTAAATTAAATTAAATAAAGAAGTAAAAATGTAGGAAATATTTTACATTATAAACTGACATAATCATAATTTAACTATCAATATATATATAGTATAATATACTAATATCTAATATCAACAACTATTACACCCATTAGACATACATTTTATCATTATTTAAACATAAATCATAATACTTAGTATAAAATAAGATAAGGAAAATTAATTAAATCCATTCAAGTTTGCTATTACTTAAAACGTGTATGTATAAAATAAACAACTAGGAATGGAAATCATAAATATTATAGGTACAGCCAAATAATTGGAAACCATTAACTTAAATTACTAGACAAAAAGTTTTCTAAAAAATTGTAGGTATACCTAACAATTAAATATTAGTTATAAAAGCCTACTTCATATAAATAATGTATATTGTTAATTGGTATTGAATATGGCAGATTTCTGAAGTTCATAATTTTCATTCAACAAGGGCATAATTTACTCTTAATGAGCGCGTGAACAACAYAAATTGAAACACAGTACTTAATGAGCCTAGAATAAAATTATAGAATATTATTTTTCATTTACAGTTCCTAATCATTTTATAGATTATATTAATATTAGTATTTTGAAACATAATGAAATCTAGTGTCGAGCAATCTATTCATATATATCTATAACTAGTTACAACTCTTCTTATTAGGTACATAATTACACAAAAAATAATAAATTATTGCGACAAAAAAATAAAAATAAAAACCAGGGCACCAATATAATATAATTGTACACTCTAATTATTGGCACATAATATAAATATACAATCAGTATAATATAAAATTATAGATAAGGGGTTTATCAGTAGATATTTTACTATTATCAGAAATATTACTAATGAGTGATGACAAATAATAAAAATAAAATTATTTAAAAGTAATTAAGTACATTGACTAGCAAAAGATCACGCCGTAATCTGACAAAAATCGGCACTCTGCCTTAGTGCACCCATACTGGTGTTGCATAGGGATGTTAAAATTGGTGTGGTCTCTCGCTCGACAGAGTAGAGATACCTCAATAAATACTATTTTTCTATTAATATTATTATTGAATACTAATGAATACCTAAGTAAAAATCAAAAACTATTAAATATACTCTCGAATAAATTGTAACTAATGTACTGCTCTAATTCTTGTTGTTTTAGGGCTTATAATATTTTAGTGTTCACAATTTAAAATTGAAAATAAATAATTTACCTTTAAAACACTTAGGTAATTTTATTTCCTTAAAAAAATAAATTTCCTGGGTTATAAGAATTTCATGGATAGTTATAATATTATAATATAATAATAATAAAAGTATAATACCTTTTAACTAGCTAATGTGAGACATATATTTATTCAAAAATTATTGCTCATTTTAGTTAAGTAAATAATCATTTCAGTTAATACGATTTTAAATGTTTAGATAAATGGTACATCTAGCAGATATCCAACAGATTTTTTAAATTGTTACTCATCAATTGAAGTATTTCATCTAAAATGTTGTGGTAGCTTGGAATGCTACACTTCCAAAATACATTATTGTATGATTGTATAATAATGTACGATCTAATTTATTTGAATTTATATAAAAATATCAGAATTATAAACAATATTATCTTACTAAGTAGGTACTACACTTCCTAATCATAAGCTATATATTTTATAGGAACATACTAGGAAGGTACTAAATATATTTTAGATGTAATAACAMAGTATTGCAATGATATTGTATATGAAAACAGTTGTTTTTCATTGAAACATTTTAGTAATGGATTATAAATTGATTTTTTTTTAGTTACATTTTACTTGTGATTATTCGTGAAAGAATAACAAAACAATTTTGTATGGTTTTCTTAATGTTGGGCAAACAAATTTGATATCTAGATATGCGTATATAATTGCATAGTAGTGACATATTATGGTCATTTAAATGAATTATAAATACATTTGCATGACAAGTTCCATGTAAATAAAATAAATGCAATTGTATATTAATATATTTAATCAATGCATAAAATCATTTTAAAATCGCTTGTAGTACCTAGGTGCATTCAATATTGTACAATAGATGCCAAAAACATGTATATTGTAAAGATCTAATAAATGTGACTTCGAAAAAGTACTATAAAAGATGAGAACTAGAATGAGATTAAGTATATATTATAAATATTTGTATATGATTGTATGGTCTCTGTTCTACTACGAACAACAACTACACAGGAACATATTTTTGGTATAGGTACCTATGCAAATCATCACTTTTAACAATAGCAATAATTATAACAAAGAATTTTACCTGATTTAGCAGCAACTGTTGCTATTCCTAATCCGATGGTTAATGCACCGCCCAAATCTCGTTTCAGCAACATGATTGAAAACGAAGACACAATGGGCCCTAGACGTTATCCGCGTTCTCGTTTCTTGCTATCAGACGAATATTGTTCTTGAGGAGTGCAGCAGCTGCATTTCGGTTTGCGGCGTTCACACGCTCACTTTGACAAGAATATTWTTGTAATAAAAATTAAAAACCACACCAACTGTTAGTTCGCGAAGAGTGCGATAAGCTCAAAACGGAATTGAATATGATAATAAATTTAAAAATGTATAAATGACAAAAAAAAATTGATAATTAAAAACAACCAGCACCACGAGACGAGTGACGGAGATGAACACAGGACGRACGCGAGAACCAGAATGATGCTGGCGGGGGGATTGGTGCCTTGGATGTCTGAGCTCCGTGCTGGTCGCTGGAAAAAATAATAAAATATGGTATCGGTATGTTTCGATTGTGGTCGTCTGGAGGGCATGGGATGGAAACAAAATTTATTGGAAAACAGCTGACAGAAGTGCATGGAAGAAAAACGTAAGACTACAGTGATTGGCCACGACGCTGCCGGTGCTATCAGTTCAAAATCTCATAAGCAAAACATAATAACGTAATACATAATATCTTCTTTCTCTTAAGTGTTAAGTCTTAAACTCTTAATGTTATTATTATTATTGATTGTTTAATATTTTGATTTTATTATTTTTATGCAGTATGACATACCTATCATATATTCCCACAATTTTTTAATGATAACTTGTTTCTATAATTCTCGACAAAATTATCAATTTCTAAGCCCGCAAACGTTTTCATGAAGTCGTACAACGTAGCGCCGATCACCCAATTTCTATATGACACATTTCATAGTAGATGTGGGCTCACCATAAGATACTGCCTTGTTCTGCATCCAGAATATACGTTAAAATTTAAAAATATACAATTAAACGGTACATTACTTGTTTGTAGATGCTTTGATTTGCATCTGAAGGTTAAATTATAAGAATAGTGGGAGTGGGTGACAGAGGCCCTTAGATGTACAATGTCATAGTATATTTTAAAGTTTTAAACGTTTCGGCGCCACTGTTAAATGTTAATGTGTATCTATACAGTGTCGTAGAAACCGCGGTGCGGTCGGTTCATTGGCCATTGCCGGTGGGGCCCCGCGTTGCAATTCCTAATCTGAGGCCCATACTTAAATAAAATAATATAAGAATTAAGAATGTATACTAATAACAATTTTTTTAATAAGATCATAATATTATGATAATGCCGTTAGCACTTTGTTATTTTAGTATAATATAGCACCGCCAGGCTTTAAATTAGCACTCCCAGTTCCCATATGATAACATGTAATAATATAATCATTTTTAAATGTTTTGAAATTTTGAATACATAATATATTATGTACAGTATAGTGTATAGTTGCTTAATAGCTTAAATTAAAATAAAGAGTAGCAATTACATAAACATTTATACAATTTCAACTTCATTATCAGTTTTTAATTTGTCTATACAAAGTATTGAAGAGAAATTAATTAAAATTTTAATTAATTATAATTGTATTATAATTAAAAAGTCAGAATATAAATAAGTTCAAATTTAAAATTATTGCAATGCATTTTATTATATTATTAATGGGGTTGGGGACTGTGGGGGGGACAATGTGCGCCTTTAAAGGGGCCACAGATTAAATTTGCACTGGGGCCCATCTATTTCTAGCTACGACACTGTATCTATAACATGGGGTGACACCAGTTCATCAATAAAAAAAATAACAGCCGGTGTTCCCCAAGGATCAAAAATTTCTCCCCTGCTTTTTAATTTATATATCGCGGACTTTCCCACTACACCTAACACAGAAGTTTCTCTTTAC